TAGTTAATAAGCACTTCAAAGTTCGCATTACTCTCTCTACTTGTCCATTGGCTCTACTGGCACCAGTCGCTATAAGGTGGAGTTCTATTCCGTGAGTGCTACAGAATTCTTTAAAATCTGAGCTTATATAACATCTACCCTGGTCTGATATTATTCGCTTTGGAGCGCCAAAAAGACAAACAGCTTTTCTTAGTGCCTTAATAGCACACGTAGCATCAAGAGACGGAGTCTGTTCTAAGAGGACGTACTTCGTAAAAGAATCTATTATAACTGAAGCATACTCTTTTCTATCGCTTTTGCCGCTCAGCTTACCAGTTAAGTCTATATGGATGGTGTGCCAGGGTGATGCTACTTTAGGTATTGGGTGTAAACGAACTTGTTGGGCTCCGGAGGGACCTTTCGATGTTTTACAAACGATACATGCATCAACGAACAATCGTACCTGCTTAGCCATTTGGGGAAACCAATACTGCTCATATAGTTTGTCAAGTGTCTTTTCTGCACCTAAATGTTTGATTTCAGTATGAATATGGTTGATCAAAGTCCAAACGAGTGAATTAGGTACAATGGGTAGCCAGCGACTGATTTTATTACGTTCCACCTTTCTGTAGAGAACGTCATTCCTAACATCATAAGTGTGACTGATCGAATCAGGGAGTTCATTATTAAGATGTTTTCTAATAAGATCTTGTATATATGCGTCACGCTTTTGTTCTACGGCCAGCCACCCTTGGTGTAATTCTACAAAGTGAACAGATTTGAACGATATTGGAACTAAGGATTCGACGTTGTTTGAAGTGCTTGGTACTGGTTCTGAAAGAGGATTTCGAGATAGGTAGTCAGCGTGTTCCATGCTGCTGCCTTGTTTATGAATAATATCGAAATCGTAAGCTTGTAGAAAAGCCCACCAACGATGTACCCTAGGTGTTAAATCTCTTTTTGACTTTGATGCTTTTAGGGAATTACAATCTGTAAATACAGTAAAGTGCTGACCGTATAAATAATGCCTAAAATTTTCTACTGCACGAACGACTGCCAGAGTTTCTAGCTCGTACGAATGATACCTTGATTCTGTGTCAGTCGTTCGGCGGCTAAAATAAGAGATAACATGGGGACTACCGTTCTTTCTTTGAATAAGAATGGCGCCATAACCGTCGGCACTCGCATCAGTGTGTAATTCTATAGGAAGCTTGCGATCAAATATGGCTAATACAGGCTCTGTTGTAAGAATTTTAACTATCCGTTTGTGAATGTTGTCGTGGACGTCTGACCATTGGATTGGCCCTTTTAATTTTGTAAGGGGATATAGAGGTCCCACTAGGCGAGTATAGTTGGGAATAAATCTTCTAAAATAGGAAGCTAATCCAATAAATTGGCGCACTTGAGAAGCGGTTTTGGGTGCAGGAGCATCAGCGAGAGCTTGAACTTTTCGGGGGTTTGGAGTGATCTCCCCGGCTCTAACTACGTATCCTAGGTAGTCGACTTCGTATTTAAGAAACTTGCACTTGCGTATATTAAAAGAGAAACCTGCCCCTGAAAGCGCTTTAAGTGTTAATTCAAGACGAATCAAACCCTCAGGAACATCTTTGGAAAAACAGAGGACATCGTCCATGTATGCTAGTACCACGTCATCCTTAAGGGAACCAAGCGCCTTATTGATACACCGCTGATAAACAGAGGCTGCATTCTTTAAGCCAAACGGCATAGTCAAATATTCGTACTGGCCCTCTGGTGTAACAAAGGCAGTACGCGCGATGCTGTCACCTTCAGGATCTATGGGGATCTGGTGGTACCCAGATGCCATATCTAACGAGGAAAATGTATGAGCTCCGTTCAGTCTGTCGATCTGTTCGTCAATTATAGGTAATGGGTAATGCTCTGGTTTCGTATTAGCGTTAAGTTCCCTATAGTCCACACACATCCTGTCCGTGTTGTCCTTCTTTTTCACTAAGAGGATGGGGCTAGCAAAGGGTGAATTGCTCTCTCTAATGACGCCGGCGTCGAGTAGAGATTTTATTTTTTCACGGACAATATCTTTTTCGGCAGGGGATAGCCTATAGGGCCTTCGTTGAACTGTTTTGTTGGGATCTATGGGGTCTATACGCAGCATGCCAGTCTTAACTCTACGATTAGGTATACCGTCAATGAAAAATTTACTAAACTTTTGTAAAATGTTAATGAGCGCTTTTCTATCATCACCTTTTAGATCAGTGTCGATGCCAGAGAAATCGAAATCAATAGCCTCCTCCGAAGGTGCAAGAGTACTTTCAAGCTTAGAAAATTTAATACGGTTACTGTTTATTTCTACTCTGATGCCCTGGTCTAAAAGGTCCCTTCCAATAATTACAGATTCTGAAATTAAATTATCAGGAATGATGTGGAATAAGATATGCACAGAAATATCTTGGATAGTAACTTTACTTAAAATTTGTTTCGTGCAATAAATGCCAGACTTTCCTATTCCTTTTAAGTGAACTACATTGTTGTGCAAAGTACCCAGAAACTTATTTAAAAGTTGTTCGGTTACAAGTGAGCAGGCGGACCCACTGTCGAAAATAAAAGAAACTATCTCACCAGACGATGTCTGCAACTCATCTCGGACTGGCCTTTGGTCACACAGGTACACCTCCTTCACCGTCGAGGTTGAGCTGCCGACACTCGTCCGCCCTGGACACGCCGAGGCTAGATGGCCCGGTTGTCCACAAGCGTAACATGTTGTCGGCTGCGCCTTCTCACTGAAAGTTCCTCGTGGTCTATCGCTTGGTCTCTGTGCGGTAGAAACTTCTTGTCTTCTTCTGCGACAATCTGCAGCCTTGTGACCCAATATACCGCAATGATGACATGCGCCCGTGAATCTTGGCTCGGAGACTCGCGGTCTCTTCGGTTCTGGATCACCACTCTCAGTTCCGTCTGCACGCCTCTTCAAGGAAACACCGCTTAGGATTCGAAACAGCTGAGCTCTCGTCGATATAACGTGTGAGTTCAATTCGCGGCGTAAAAGGTTATCTTTGAGGCACAAAACAGAAGTAACCAATCCTGCTATCATGTCTTCGGCCATTTCCACTCGCGGGATGCGCTCAATTATGCCCCAAAGACGCATAGCCGCTTCGCACGCAGTTTCTTTTGTGCTTATTTGAAAACGCAAGACGTCATCGAAGTAATCTTGAGGTAGCATTGGTCTCGAGAATTTTGCTAGTAAAATTTCTTTGATAAGCGGCCATTCTAGTTGACTTACGTCTAACTTAGTTAGACAAGCTGCGGCTCTTCCCTTCAAAGCGTGTGTCAAAACCAATAGCAATTCAGCGCCTTGAAGTCTCTTACTGTTCACTATTATTTCAGTTACTTTGCACCAACCTTCGATATCTGCGTCCTCCGCATCAGGATCAAAAACGATCAGCTGTGTCGCTGAAGAATGTTGAGAAGATGCCAGTAGTTTGGTTAAAAGCGACTCCATACTTCGAAGAAAATTAGATGAGGGTAGATGACCACTATTCTCCTCACTTGAAAGCCCGACGTATCCCACTTCTGATGTAGGCACGTGGGTATTGCCAGGATTGCCGGTGCCCTCCATTGGTGCTTAGAGGTGGCGTGGATTAACGGGCGAGGAGAAATAATCCAATATCAAAGAATAATCACCGATATATTTCACTGTTACAATTTAAGAACAACGCACTCACTTATTCTTGAAATCTAAGTACAATTATAAAGTTAACATAACGCACAATTATAAAATCAAGACGTTCCGCAGAAAGCGTGGCACATGCACCGGGTGCAAACCGATTATGATCGGTGAACGCGCGGGCGCTATGTGACCAGCCAACTGAGTTACGTCAATCGAGCTGTCACTGAACTGACAGTGACATTCGATTCACTATGATCCATAGTCTATGCCCGTAGATAACTCCAATACAATAACGATAAATACCGAGGCGCCGTCAAATATATGCGTGGCAAGGAGGCTGATATAATAAGTATCTATATTGACATCTCGTGTGTCTATTGCTCATTTCTACGCGCTTCTCGAAATACTTGCTGTGATCCCTGACAAATAAACATGCTTCCTTTATGTACATGCAGGGCAATGGAAGTATTTCAAATTTTTTAAATAAGGGTTTGCAGCTTTCGAGAAACCAAGCACCATCTAACATTCTAATGCATTTTTTTTGCATCCTAAAAACCCTATCGATATCTACTGAGTCACCCCATAAGAGCAGTCCATAACGTAGGTATCGCAAGAGCAAAGAGTTTACCTAAACAAGTAGGCAGTAACGTAACGGACGTTACAATACCTATGGCTAAGAACTGTTATGGCACTTGAATGTGATATCAAATTAAATGGTTAAATGGCTTATGTAGTTGAAATCTTTTCGATATCTGATTCGGGAGACGATTCGTGACGTAGACTATCATCAGCCTATTAATGTCCCCGCTGCTGGGGCACAGGCCTTCCCTATGGATGGATGTAAAAGTCTGTTTTATTCATAGTTAAATTTGACTATAGTTAATGTCATGTCAAATACATAGTAAAATGTGTAAAATATTAAGAAATTGTTATTTTTACTTAGTTTTTCTACTTATTGTATTTTGACTACAGCATAACTATGGTCACATTGAACTATGTATGAAACAACGCGGCCTTGGCAGTAAGCTACTTTAGAAGGTCTACAATATTTTTATTTTAAGTAATAAACTGATGGATTTTTAGAGTATATATAATTTATTAATAAAACAAAATAATAACATCCACTAAATCAGTCTGGAAACGTACCAACGCAGGGCTTAGAGGTAAACTTTTTTTTATAAAAATTTCTAAAGATACAAAAATTATCATTTTCAAAGTTATTCTCAAAGTACATTGCTATTACAAAGAAAGCAAGAAAGCGACAACATCAAATTGATAAAAAACATAAAAGAAAATTACCGTCGCCGAGAGCGACAGCTAGCTAATTATCTTCTATTCGTTCATTAAATTTGAGCTGGAGTTCTACATTAATCACTCTTTATCGTTCATCATTCAAAATGAGGTCTGCTGCTCTCTCCGCCATTCCTATTAGTACAGAGTTTGGGAACAAAGATATTGGAGATGGGAACACACTGGAGTCCACCACACGAACGCCTGACACCGATTTCAATCTGAAAAATAAAGAAGAAAATATTAGATTTCAATAATTCGTAAGCTTCATTCATTTAGATCATTCGTAAGAACGATAGGGAAACCGCTTAACTGAGTCCTCGCCTGAGCGGTACAGGGTGTGCGGGAGGACGAGACCGGGGACCGTGAGGTGCGGGCGGTAGGCACATTCTTGTTAAAATTTCACCCTGAACCCCGCAGGTGAAGACTCAGTTAAGCGGTCTACCTACAATGCATCTATCTTCAAGGAGCTGGGTCTCAAGATGCGTCTCTCTTCTATCAGCATGCAGCGCCTCCTAAAATACTACGGTCACTTGGCGAAAAGAAGCCCAGATGAATTTGAAAAGCTTCTGGTCTTGGGTAATGTGGAAGGCAAAAAGAATAGGGGCAGTTCTCCATGCTGGTGATAGGACATAGTCAAGGAAACTACAAATGGCATACTTGCAGGCGTCCATTCGCCTTGCAGAACACAGAACGGCCTAGAGATCGCTGGTGAATGTGCTGTTCTGAAAGGTCTAGACCCTCAGCCATGAGGAAACGACGATGATGAAGAAGAAGACGCTTTATTTCATGAGCTCCCATTTATATTGTCGTAATCATAGTCTTTTCATCATCATTAGCCTATTAAGGTCCCCACTGCTGGGGCACAGGCCTTACCTACGGATGTAATAGGAAAATTGGGCCGTGACCCACCACGCGGTCCCGTGCGGATTGGTAGGTGTTAAGGACTGCAGATGTAGCCTGGAACAACGACTTAACGTGCCTTCCGAAACACGAAGGAGCTCGAGATAATAAGTTTTTGATCACCCATCCAATGGGCGACCATTGCGAAAGTTGCTTAACTTCCACGATCGCAGGGGAATGCGCTAACCATCGAGCGCCATTGAGCTCCTCGTAGTCTTTTCAGTTAAATACAAATATAAATATACCTGTTTATGTAGGCATTTAAATATTGGTGCAATTTTTACTAGATTTAAGATAGGTAGGGCATAACGAATATCTCGCTCAAACTGTAACGCCTGTCTGAAGAAGCGAGCATCTTATAGACTTGGTGGCCGCTTACGACCAGGCGCGATAATACTTGTTTGCTACCAAATTTCGCAGGCGTGATCGTAAAAGGTAATTGAAGCAAATATCTGCCTTCGTACCGCTCATTAGATGGTAAAAAGAATGCCATCATCATCAGCCTGTTAATGCAAAATAATGAAAAGGGAGATTAGGCCAAGACCTTTCACGTGGGCCCAGTGCAGATTGGAGGGTGCTAACGACTGCATCCGGGACCAAACGGCTTAACTTAAGGTAGCTACTCTCACACTTGTTTTTGTTTATTTTATACCATTTGCCGTGTATGTATGTTAGTCGCGGCACGAAACTCTAGCGCTGACCGTAATTGCGCAGAAGTAAAAATTAAGATGTGTTGGGGGGAAACGAGGTGCGCGGGCGGGCGTGCGTTGCGCCGATTGGCTCTCCAATCGTACCCATGCCACGGTAATAATATCTATACAGTATTCTATCTTCATACAAACGGTCGGAAAGCGTGTCATACCTACGCCAAACGAGTTCGCGCGGCACCCGGTGGGCATCCAGTCGCGAATGCGCCGCAACGACGACCGAACGGTGTGAATTGTTTTTTAAGCAGTGCACTGCTTTAACGTTTGTATTGTGAATATTTGATTGAATTAAGTAGATACCTACATAATTCAATATGACAAAGAGAGATATTGTGCTGTTTTTGGTTGCTTGAACCCTTCAATAATTAAACTTTTTATACAAAAATGCGTATTTATCGTTTTTCCTACGTCTCAATCGAGGCGTAAATATTTTTCTGTCTCCAAGCTACATATTTTTTTTATTATATATTACACTTAAAATAACATGTATTTTATGTAACACTTCCTAATTCATTCACATTTTTTTTACATATGAAATAAAATATTTACAATCACAAAACTAGAAAGAATCTCAATGTAGATGAAATTAAAATACTGTAGGCGGGCAGCCCTAAGTACCGCGTGGACACGCCGCGCTCGGCCGTAGGTAGTTATTTCAAGGACAAGGCCGAGTCACAATACTGTATAGATAATATTACCGTGCCCATACGCAGCTATCCCCGCGGTTTGTTCAGAGCTAGAGTTAGTGCCGCGACCTGTACCTGAGGTTTTTGTCTAGAGTTTTGTGCGCGGCGCAGGTGCCAGCGGCGTGGTGTCCGCTCACAGCTACCTCTCGTACTACACACTCGAGGTACTGATCCGGTGGACTACTAGGAACTGTAGTCTTTAGCTTCTGAGCCTTGGGCGCTGGGGACGATTGGAATCTAGGGAAGATTAGGTATTGATCTTATTTTCCTTTTAAAGAACAAAATGAAGAAGAAACTTGCAGGCCGGCAAGGTGAAGATGGCTGGTGTGGTAGGTAGAACTTAACATCAGATGGGGTGGAGTCATTTGTCAAAAAATAGAATGAAAGTGACCTAACCCATTTCTTTTAATATGCGAGGTGCAAAAAATTATCCCACCCCACCTGATGTTAAGTGTATTAAGTGTGCGGCAGAAAATATGCCGCTCCAGCTATCCTCTGGCATGCCGGCCTGATTTAGCTATAAATCGACATTGAAAGCATAGTGGAGTGTTAGTATTGTAGAGAAAAAGGTACAATACCTTTTTTTTACCTAAGTCGCAAATATCATCTAGGCAGGTATTTCTTCAATTTCTTTTAATTTCCTCATGCATACGATTGAGCGATGGAATGAGGTCTCTATTTAAGTGTGTTCCAAAGGAATATAGCACGGATTTCTCCAAAGCAACGTGATGAATTTTTTTACACAGTTGGCATTGGGCGTGTAGTAGGTAAATACCAGGGCTCACAGTCTCGGACAATTTTGGCGTCCCGGGACAAAATATAACGATTCTCGTTACGTTACGGAAAACCGAGACTTTCGAGACTTCTTTAAAGGTGAGTTTTTGACCTTTATAATAATACATTCTTAAAAGGTAATAAAAACTCAGTCTTGAACTATAATCTTCATTACAAAACATTATGCTTATATATAGTCACCAAAAACTAACTTTGTTTTAACTGTCTTCATTAAAACAGCTGCTTATCTACCTTCTTCTCCTTTTGTAATCCTGTCCCTTCTGATCTGCTTTGGTGTAGTTCCAGAAGCTGAGACATCTCTCAGGTCTAGGCCAGTGAATCTTAGCTCCGATGTTTTGGAAATTTTTCGTTTGCACCAACTGTTCTGCACGACGAATTGCTTAAAACACAATAATGCTATTACTCACTTCTTTTCTAGGCAATTCCGTTTTGAGTAAGTTTTTTTTTATAGATAGATCCGACAAATGACTCTACCCCACTTGATGTTAAGTGAAGGTGAAGTCCAGACGCGAAGATAGCTGATACAGCAGTTCTACCTGCCACACCAGCCATCCTCACCCTGCCGGCCTGCATGTTGCTTCTTCACGCCTCTTTTAAAGGATCCCAGGTTGTAAGAGGGAGGGAACACGTGAGCGGGCAGAGCATTCCATTTGCGGATAGTGCGACAAAGAAATGAATCACCAAATTTCTTTGTACGCGTTGGAATTGTGGCCACAGTTAGACGGTGACAACGTAGGCCAGCGCGCGTGGTCCTCTGAAGGAAAGGGGATGGTGGATGGATCTCCCTATTCCATTCATAGGGAAGGCCTGTGCCCCAGCAGTGGCGACATTAATAGGCTGATGATGATGATGATGATATAAGTACAAACAAAGTATCATGCAAAGGTATCAAATCAATAAAAAAATTGAAATATTTCTATTAGTCCAGTCGGAATAAACATGAGACCTATTCTAAGACACCAGCGCTTAGCCAATTTTTTCCTAGATAGTATAGACCCCCACGAATATGCCCTCCATTTGTCCCCGCTAGAACCTGTGTTTTGTAGCCAGGAAAATTGTTTAAACAAAGAAAACCGTTTTTTTTTGCTTGTAAACGGGGATTTTGAAATTTTTTTTGAATCAAAGTTGTTCATTAGCTTGCCCTCTACAAAATCAGTTCTATGAAAAAATAACGTGAGATTGTTAGTTTAGCAGTAAATTGCAATTATGTCGGTTTTACGTTTGTAACAATTCAACATGTTATAATAAACATTTTGATTTTTAAAGTAGTTTATCATGTGGGTAACGCCACTCCCAAGAGAGTCATGTAAAATTTATCGACCTGTGTTGCAAACTTTAGCAACAATTCTCAATCTCCGAAAAAAAAGTACTTGCCTGTCCCGTCTTTCCCAGAAGGCGCACAGCGGGGAAAAAAATTCAGGTGATTCGATTCACCAAGAATTTTGAGGAATCGATCGAGTAGAAAAAATCGTTAATAAAAATGTTCGTTTTTGGACGATTTGAATTTTTTTTAAAATTGACGTAGAATATTTTTTTTTAAACTAATGTATTTTTCTCTCCTCAACTCGAATTCGAGTCCAAAAACGAACATTTTTATTAACGATTTTTTCTACTCGATCGATTCCTCAAAATTCTTGGTGAATCGAATCACCTGAATTTTTTTCCCCGCTGTGCGCCTTCTGGGAAAGACGGGACAGGCAAGTACTTTTTTTTCGGAGATTGAGAATTGTTGCTAAAGTTTGCAACACAGGTCGATAAATTTTACATGACTCTCTTGGGAGTGGCGTTACCCACATGATAAACTACTTTAGAAATCAAAATGTTTATTATAACATGTTGAATTGTTGCAAACGTAAAACCGACATAATTGCAATTTACTGCTAAACTAACAATCTCACGTTATTTTTTCATAGAACTGATTTTGTTGAGGGCAAGCTAATGAACAACTTTGATTCAAAAAAAATTTCAAAATCCCCGTTTACAAGCAAACAACCTCAAAAAAACCGGTTTTTCTTTGTTTAAACAATTTTCTTGGCTACAAAACACGGGTTCTAGCGGGGACAAATGGAGGGCATATTCGTGGGGGTCTATACTACCTAGGAAAAAATTGGCTAAGCGCTGGTGTCTTAGAATAGAAGTCGGTCCAAATTATGGCTATTCCGACTGGACTATATTAATTCTAAGGGCGTTCTTATAAAGCCGGGTTTCCAGTAAAATATTACTTATTGAAAACATTCAACAAAAACACATACACATAACTTTGTTTCTTAAATAATTTTCTCTACATATAGTGCGATTCAAATAAGAATAGGAAAGCCAATGACCTCTATCTGTCAAACGTCGCTTGAAAAGGTACGGTTTGCAAAAAAACTTGGAACCCTCTTTTAGCACTCCGCTAATTCAAGAATAAAAACCAAACATTTGTAAACAAACAATAACAAATATTGATAATTAATATCGGTTATTTTTTTTTTCACTTTTTGAGCTTTGGCCAACCATTCGTTGATAATCTAAATCGTCAACCAAATGTCACTTGAAGTTGCATTCAGAAACTCGATTTCAATCTTTCTTTACATAAATAGTTATATAATACTAGTAATAGTGTATGATTATTCATAACTACTCCGGCAGTAATGCAGAGATGAGCGGAATAGAAGAGCTAGATTCTGATTAATGTTTTTTCTCACAGTCTAAATAAATAAATATTATTAAAAAGCGGTGGTTTTTTTCTCTCAATCTAAACAAAAACCTGATGCTTTTTCTCACTTCATCTTAGTAAATAAGTTTTATTAAATAAAAACTTTTTTTTGTTTACTCTACCTATTTGGTTTGAATTGACAGCTATGACATCACAATATGGCGCCCAGTCGGTCCTATTCTTAGTTGAATCGCATTATACGCTGTCTACTGCTCACGTAGCTGTCGTACACAAAATACACAGGGCTACGTTCAAAAACTGCGATCCAGGTACAACAAATGACAATTTTAACAAAGATTCGTACATTTTATGTCAAAATTAGAATGTCACAGTGACAAGTTGTACTCGGCGCTAAGGATTGGAAAAATACCCAATGAAACAATATCCTGCCCTGCGATTTGTGTACGTGCTTTCCGTCGGGCACAGAAAGCAAAAACATTATTGATGCAAACAAATATGTGTAGTGAAACAAAGTTTTGTGTGGAGATTTTTTTTTAATTGTTGATATTGTTTTGTTGATTGTGTAGGGCAAAACACGCGCTGGAGACCCCGCTTAATATCAACTCGATATTTCTTGAAATGAGTAAGTCTGTGATGCATCCTAAAACTAAGACCAGCGGTGAAACGTACCATCTGAAATACTAAGGAACTTAGGATCATTAATTTGCGCACACTGGACAAGTAACGACACAGACAGATGTGTGACAGATCTCAGCAATAGTCACTTAACCTACTTTTGAAAGTAAAGAGTAGGACTTGTGTAAATACAAAGTAGTCATATATATATATACTAGCTGACCCAGTGAACTTCGTACCGCCCTAAAAAAATAGGGGTTGTCCAGCGGACAAAATTGTGAATCTAAACCATTCTCAGATCCCCTTGAACACACACAAAAAATTTCATCAAAATCGGTCCAGTCGTTTAAGAGAAGTTCAGTGACATTCACACTCACAGAAGAATTATATATATAAAGATATATATATATATATATATATATTCAATCATTTAACCGCTAGATCTTTATGTTTCTTTACAAAGCATGTAGCGGTAACTGATAAATGTTTAGAAGTAATATAATATATATAAATTTTTCCAGAGTGTCTTTATTCCAAAACCTTCCATTCTTTATATCGGCATGCAATTTCAAAACACGGAATTGCCCTTTAATTTTGTTGTAAGTAGTATACTATCACGGAAAAATCATGAAAATCCGCTACACAAAGGAAAGCGCTTTTCTTTATGAAGAGGACGCGCGGGGGGGCTAAAACCCGACTATCATTGATATTTTAGGGTTAGTCTTAAAAAGGCATGCACGACAAAATCGTGGAACGTCACCTGTCACCAGCTCCCGGTCTAATAGCAATGTGACACTTTTATATATTTGTACTGTACTAGTAGTAACGTGTACAGCTTTATAAATAAACAACTGGATGGCACTTGCAACCACAGACTTGCATCAGTGCCGAAATATCGGGGACTTACAAATTAAAAGGTAGTAGTTAGTAAAATATTACTGACCATGAATGTTCAAAACAATATAAAAGAATTATCTTTATCTTTTAAAAAGGTACCTACGCAACTACGTATTACGTAGCTCCTAGCAGAACAGTACCACCATACACCAAATGGATGTCCCAATAGGGTATTTGATAGTATTAAAAATAAAGTGACAATTGTTAGCATCTGTGTTTAGAATGAATATTGGCAGGGGTTTTTACTATTTTTACAAAAAAAATATTCATAATTTTACTAAAAACCCACGAAAAAGATTATAGTTTTCTTATCTATTGTCACGTGACCCAAAACGCTTGGGATTGGCGGAGCCTAAAATGACGTCACACGCAAGTAAACTTCCGATTAAAGTGACATTACATTGTATCGTTTGACGTTTTAATAACAGTCGTGTGACGTCACACACTATTAAGACGCCATATTGTCCAGAGAAACGTTTTCGCGGCAACTTGAAAATGGAATTTTCGATTTGGTTATTTTTACTGAAATACACAACAGAATGATGAATATCCACTTTTTACGGACTCCATAAACATTAGTCAATAACGTGAGATCTTTTTCTAAATCTTGTCAAATACCCTATTTCAACTTTCAAGACTTTAGTAATAATAAAACAGTTCCACCAGATCATCAAACGATAGTTCCAATTACAACTTTCAAGATTTCGATGTTACTTACCTTTGATCATGCATGTGACGTCTTCATGTCTATGCAGATAGTTGGGGTCGACGACCGGTGGTACATTGGTACTAGCGTCTTGCAGCGTGACGGAGCCCCTGCTCTTCGGTTGAATGCAACTGGCGAGGAATATGAAGCCCTCTTTGGAACTGTCGTTGTGAAATGCAAAGGTGTCCCGGAAAACCTACGGAGACATCGTTTATTTACTCAAATGGATATACTTGACCTGTGCTCAGCAGGGGGCATCGTACGGCTGTTCGAATAGTCGGTCTAACCAGTTGGACACCAGTACCCTTAGCACGAACCATTATCGAATTCGAATAGTTTGCGAGTACGAATGTCATTGTCAAACCTATGGAAACTTGAATAGCAGCACGATAACGGACGTAACGAGAACTAAACATCAGTACATATTTGACAATGACATTTCGCAGTCGCAAATGAAATGAAAAGTAATTTATTCAGTCTAGGCTGTTACAAGCACTTGTGAAGGTCAAGAAGCTACGCCATCGGTTCGCAAAACTACGGCGGGAGACCTTGTACTGAGAAGAACCGGCAAGAAACTCAGCAAGGGCTGCTTTTTTCTCCCTGTATTCTCCCTGTACTTCTGAAGTCACCTTCCATTACATCATTTAGGATATAGATATATAGTTAAAAGCAATTTTATATTTAGTGCATAGGAAGCGGCATTAGATAGGTACCATATTACTAAAGAAAAGTTTACTAGAAAAAAATCCACGCGGACCAGGCAGCGGACGGGACTCGAACCCGCATCCTTCGCTATCCGGGCGAATGCACTGACCATTATGCTACCACAGCCCTATTAGCCGCGTCGAAATTTTCCTAGCCTTAAGCTGCAAGGCAGCGCCATCTCTTTGCATTGTAGGTAACCCACAATGTTAATTTCACGCCACTGTGGCGAATTTCATCTGCCAATGTAGTCAATTCGTTAATTTCCTTATTTGGAATGCTCCCGCAGTGGAGCCAGCGGTTATTTGTGACATTTAGTAACCAAACATTTGAAAAAATAAAAAGAATAACAATAAGACGATTATTATTAGGCAAATTTGATTCTAAACAGTCACTAACTCATTTCAATGTGGTAGCACCAACAGACCTGGGCCTCACTGAACACATCGTCCAAATATTCGGGTTATAGCAATTTATTTCCTCAAAACTTGCATCGCTCCGCTGTCGGTAAACTTTGGAATGTCATCAGTGCCGTCTTTGACCTATTGGAGGCCCTGGGCATATTAGTATATTCCCCATTATAAGATATGACTTCCATTTGGAGATTGAACAGGAACTAGGGACTTTGTATTTGATCTAAGGGGGCCCCCTATCGATCGCGGGGCCCTAGGCACTTGCCCAAAGTGCCCACTGGGATAGACGGGTCTGACTGTTATAGGTTTTTAACGTGATAAACTAAGCGAAGTGGATATCAGATTGATTAAGTATGTAGTCCCATCACCAAGTCATGCTTCTCCCATACACGGTCGCATAGCTATGGGTGGCTTTGGTACTATGCGCTGGAATTAGGCTTCCAAATTTTGAATTAGTTCTGTTGTAATGTATTAAGGTGCCGTCCGACGGCCTGTGTAGTCGCGGGTGCGGCCACGCCGAGCAGTGTTGCCAAACGTATGAGAACTCTAACGTCTGAGATTTAGCAGTTTCTATACATGATACAAGGTACATAGAAATCTCGTACATTTCCGTACGGTTATGAAAAAAGGAGCGTGAGGAGCTCGATGGCGCAAATGGTTAGCGCGTTCGGCTGCGATCGTTGAACTAAAGCAACTTTCGCAGTGGTCGGTCATTGGATGGGTGACCAAAAATTACTATCTCGAGCTCCTCCGTGCTTCGGAAGGCACGTTAAGCCGTTGGTCCCGGCTGCATCTGCAGTCGTTAGCATCCACCAATCCGCACTGGGCCCGCGTGGTGGGTCATGGCCCAATCTCCCTATTCCATCCATAGGGAGGGCCTGTGCCGCAGCAGTGGGGACATTAATAGGCTGATGATGATGTGAAAATAGATAAATTTGTATGTGCAACTGAAGGGGCGTACTTAACTCAAAGCTGTAATGGTAATTTAAGCGCATTTTTTTTCAAAGCCAACCGAAGCTTCGTTACGCTGGTGTAGGATAAGCATGACTCCACGCTTCTCCCACAGAACACCAGAAAGAGTTTAAAAGGGTGGTCATAGACCGTTTGTACGGGAACCGATGTCGCCGGCTCGTCCCCACTACACTTCCACCTCGTAGATAATAGCCAATCAAACGTCGCGACTTCAAACAATCGAACCAATCAGAGCTCACACCCGAGAGCAACGACGCAATCAGAACCTAGTTTTGGTCAAGTTATAAGCATTTCGACCTATCCATAGAATAAAGCTACTTCTGCATAATCACAACTTTACAGTAGAGCGCTTTTAAGTTTGTAAAATGTAAAATATGTTGTAACTTGTATTGGTATTTTTCTATCATTTGATTTTTTTTACTAATCATATAAAACATGAAGAAGCAAATTATGACGCATTTATTGGTTAAAAAACTACATTTACGGCTTAGGTATATTTCGCTATTTAAGAGTTTCTTATGTGATTATGTGATAATTTTACTACGGGCATCTTTATGTTACATATGCATATCAGACCTTATGCTTGGGAAACGTGTCAATTTTTTTTTATCTTCAAAGTTATATAAGTTTTAGAATAAATGTTTTTACCAGTAAAACATATGCGTCCGTTTCGCCTAAAAGTACACCATCATCATCATCAGCCTATTAATGTCCCCACTGCTGGGGCACAGGCCTTCCCTATGATAGGGAGATTGGGCCATGACCCTGCGCGCGGTCCCAGTGCGGATTGGTGGGTGCTAACGACTGCAGATACAGCCGGGACCAACGGCTTAACGTGCCTTCCGAAGCACGGAGGAGCTCGAGATAGTAAATTTTTGGTCACCCATCCAATGACCGACCACTGCGAAAGATGCTTAACTTCAACGATCGCAGCCGAACGCGCTAACCACTTGCGCGTCGAGCTCCTCAATAAAAGTACAATAAAAACAATTTGGTAACATTTTCATATGTAACTTTATTCTATGCATAGGTCGATTTGTTCACACAACTTTGGCGCGGCTGCCCCGACTACAAGGCCCACCTAAACTCTTTCTGTGTTATGTGGCTTTACCTATATACCGCCCATGCCTGAAGAATTCCTTCAGCTACTCACCTCAGGTTTATAGTTGGACAGATCCCGAAGCAGTCGCTCACTAGCCGTTCCCATAGTGAATAGTATGAGTGACGACGTGTTAGTGTACTCAATCCCCGCTACCGGAGGGAATGATAGATAACCTGCACAGAAGAATGTGTTAAGGTCACCCAGGTCAGCCAGAGGGCAAATGTAGCTGTTTCAAATAACTCGTTACTGTTTCGTGTTATTGAAAAAACCCCTTCATTGATACTTTTCAAAAGCTCATAACCTGCACAGAAGAATATGTTAAGGTCACCCAGGTCAGCCAGGGGGCAAATGTAGCTGTTTCAAATAACTCGTTACCGATTCGTGTTATTGGAAAAATACATTATTGATACTTTCCAAAAGCTCCTAACCTGCACAAAAGATGCGTTAAGGTCACCCAGGTCAGCCAGGGGGCAAACGTAACTGTTTCAAATAACTCGTAACTGTTTCGTGTTATTGGAAAAACCTATTTATTGATAGTTTCCAAAAGCTCACGCTGACGGGCGATAACTGTTTCCATTGCTGATATTTAATAGTAACAATCTTACTTGATATTTTGTATCGTAAAAAATCTTTTTATTTTTGTATGAATAGCTCTCTTTCTCTTCTGTTTTTCACACATTCCATCAAAATGTGTTGGACATCGTCCACTTGAAGTATTGTATACTACAAAAATATCGACTTAATTTTGGGAATATACGTTCCTTTGTGGAAATATTAGACCTTTTTTTTTTGACCCAGTGAAATGCTGCCTTATGCATACCCCGTCGCCGGGGAAATATTAGACCTACCAAACTCAGATGCAGCAAAGTCGATGTTTGATATGGTTTTTGCTAGTAAGAAAGGCTTGCCCTCTCCAATGTTTTAAGTTAAATTAGTTGTGTATAAGTTTTGGTTAGGGTACGATGAGGCTGGCATATTCGAAGAATGAAAACCTCTAAATAAATAAAGTCCCATCAATACGCCGATCCTGAAACGCTCCCACATGGGCGTAGGAGTGTACCGGTGGGTTTTAGTGGGTAGGACCGGCGTGGTTCCGCGCCGGGGAACTCCCAGCCAGCGCGCGGGACGGTGCGTAAATGCATTTCCCATCGACAAAAGAAAAAGGTATGGGTTGCCTGAAAGAGATTGCTGTCTAGCAATAAGGCCGTCTATATTGCGTGCGGTAAGTCTATCATATTTTTATTTACATTTGTGTCTTGTATGGTGTATGAGAATAAAGAATATTGTTATTTTATTATTATTAATAAAAATGAGAAGTAGAAAACTAGAAGCTCACCACTATTGGTCAGATAATACTGCCAGACAGTCCCGAAAGTGAACACCTTGGCTAAAGTGACGCTGGCAGGTTTCCTGATGCTGACGTAGATCGGCAGGTTCATGTTATCATGGAAGTTCTTGCCTATGTCCTCGTTGGCGGACACGAGTTTGATTTTCAATCTGGAGGTAGTTCATTGCTGTTCTTAAATAGCTACATAAGATATTCGGGGTATAAACGTGGTATTTTGTGCAAACATATGGAATTTTAAACTTAAGTTCCTCAGCGTTAGTTACTGTATTAATGAATACCTACTTAGTTCAAGTTAAATCTATAAAAAAATTATCCCTATAACTGGACAAATTAATGAACTACATGACGTTATCCGCGTAAAGGAAACAGCCAATAGAAACAAAGTTCATTCTGAATGTTAAGTATAATTTTAGGTACATTAAGAAATACGTACTTCTGCAAAAGGGCTTTTGGACCTATTCCCGATAACATCAGAATCTGTGGAGTCTTAATGACGCCAGCAGTTAATATGACTTCTTTGTCCACAAATATGTTATCCAGCTCCCAGTGATTCCGCAATATGTATACTGATGACGCAGTTGTGTTCTCGAAACGAATCTAGAAAATAGCAAGAACATTGATGACAAAATCTTATCAAAATCTTTATTCAACAAACATTAAAGTAGTCAGCGATGCTGGTAGAACGAAGAGCATTTCTACGCGTTGTCTACATGTCTGACCTTATACCGCCCCTACAGTTTTTCTCGAGGAACCTAGAGTTTAAGGCGTTCCTACTCCTGTAGAGGATTGAACTGGCTCTTACTTCCTTCAGAAATACACGATAGTGTGGTTTAGTTTAGTGTGGTTTAGATTTTTGCCAACAAACTGTTCTCAGTTTGGCAAGATTTAATGTTTTGTTATCAAGTGTACCCAAAGTAAATACAATAAATCAAAAAAAAAAAAAAAAGATACAGTAAAAAACTCCTAAAATTGTAAAATTCAATTTGACTAATAAGGACATGACCTACGCATATTCTGCCCCTTTATTGTTTACTTCAAGTGTACAATACATTTTAATGGAATGTGTGAAGAACAGAAGAGAAAGAGAGCTATTCATACAAAAATATCGACTTAATTTTGGGAATATAGGTTCCTTTGTGGAAATATTAGAACTACCAAACTCAGACGCAGCATACTCGATGTTTGATATGGTTTTCGCTAGTAAGAAAAGCTCGCCCTCTCCAATGTTTTAAGTTAAATTAGTTGTGTATAAGTTTTGGTTAGGGTACGATGAGGCTGGCATATTCGAAGAATGAAAGCCTCTAAATAAATAAAGTCCCATCAATACAACTTTTACTCACAGCTTGAACTAAGAAAGAAAACCTCGAAAAGTATTAGCTACACGTACTTCCACGCACGCAACGTATTTCATAATAAAAAGAAACGAAAACTTGAATATTAATGTTGTGCATTTTTGATATATTGGAATTGTTAGGGAATATTTTTGCACGAATTGCTTTAATTATCAGTATAAAAGTACTATCATGTATGTGGCAGAATACAATATTTATTTATTGCGCTATCGTACACAAACATGACAATTTTCATGAAAAAATCATCTATTGTAAAAAAATGCAGTTTCTTCGCAATAAAGCTGCCACGTGGACGTCCTAGATTTATTATTATATAATACGGTAAAATAAAATATTACTATGTTTCGTCCAATATATTGAAAGTCAACCTTTCCAATTTTATTGTGTGTCATGATGCGATCAGCCCACGAGTTTAACATTTTTTACCCATACAAAAACAGAAACAAAATCAACGCCGCTAAAGAAGTTTTCACTTCAAAAATTACAAGTTTATGATTTCAATCCACTTGTTTTACTTACCGAAACTGCTTGTGTTTTGAGTAGTACATGAAGGTTCTTCCTTCTAAGAGATGGTTTGAGGTAAGCATCCCAAGCCGCGTGCCGGGTGCCATCTTTAACTGTGGCAGTTGTCTTCCTGAAGGCCACATGTTCAGTTCTTAGGAAACCGCTGGCGTCTTTGAAAGTTCGCATTAGCTCATTTTCCTCTTCTATCATTTTCAGTTTCATGGGAGCCTGAAGAGTGGGCGGTATTTTAAACCTTTTCAAAACAATATGTTGTTTTAATCTTTCATGGTCACTAACATTATAGTAATATATGTTAATAACGGGATTGTTACCATGTAGGTACCTTGTTTTCAGCGAGCTGTGTGCCGAAATATCGGAAACTTGCTAAAAACAAGGTACATGGTAACAATCCCGTTAATAACATATATTAATTGCTTTTCAAAACACTTAGTGGAAATGAAATTCTACATGAATTATAATTTCAAGTTCATATTTTTTTTATGTTTAATAGGCAAGGCGTTTGACCAAAATTTCGCCTGATGGAAAGCAATGATGAGGCATAGGATGGTACACGCCTGCCTAGAACATGCCTGTTCACTCTGGCCTTGAAAATGTCCAGATTATATTGGTCCGGGAAAACAGACCTCGGTAAGGAGTTCCACTCCCAAATTAATATTACTATCGTATGAGTATCGTTAAGTGTCTCCATTGCTGGATTAAAAACTGTAAGCCATATTCATGGACCCAGAAATGTGTAATTAAAAAAATATATTAGACACCTAGATCTTCATTGAGATTGCGTAAGATTAAGTTAGATCCTAGTTTTGTTAATAATTTATTTGCGGAGAATTTAAAATTAACGTATGTTAGTAGGCTCTTTACTTACTGTATGCCCCGGACAAACACCATCCATTGAACAGTGGTCGGAATCGAATTCGTTCTGTACAGTACCGAATGCTTTGATGAAGTAAGGTTTAAGATCTTCGAAGGTCCACCCTTTGAAGCCTAGGCGGGACCAGCGTTCGTATTCTTCGGGCAAGCCGAATCCGTGGAGAAGAAAGTTTATTTGCCCTGATCCGCCTGGACCCTTGCCCCGTGGAAGAAACTGCGTCTGAAACATAATAAGCTATGAGATTTTTAGATAGATTCTTCGGAAGTAAGTAGTTGCATATTTTAGGTGGAGAGCGGTCTAACACCTCTTTTAACTCAAGAGGGCCAAGCACGAGCTTTGACAGATCTGTAATCGTATAGTCATTGTCAAAATTTCGTATGGAAGGAGCCAGCTTGTTCTTACGTTCGGTAGAGGCGCTGCTCCTCAGAAGACTTGAAATTTTTAGCACCCCATTGAGCATACATGCGCCACGTACATTTTACTTACCCGAGACGGTGGCAAATATTGTCGCCTCTTTAACAAACCCACCCACACCCACAGTCTTTACATAATAAAATGCCGCCCCTTAATTTAGCAAATGACAAATCTTCTTAAATAAGTATGTAGACACTAGACAGAAGTGAGGAGCTCGATGGAGCAAGTCGTTAACGCGTTCAGCTGCGATCGTTGAAGTTAAGCCACTTTCGCAGTGGTCTGTCATAGGATGGCTGACCAAAAATATTCTATCTCGAGTTCCTCCGTGCTTCGGAAGGCACGTTAAGCCGTCGGTCCCGGCTGCATCTGCAGTCGTTAGCACCCGCCAATCCGCACTGGGCCTTTTTTTTTATTGTTGGGAAAATGCGTGACGCATACCCCGCCCCTGGGTGAGAGACGGGGTTATGTGGGACTCCTCCTCCCCCCAAATCCCGCCCACCCGCTGAGCCAACTTGGCTCAGCGGCTGTTTGGGATGAAGGGGGGGAATCCGCACTGGGCCTGCGTGGTGGGTCATGGCCCAATCTCCCTATTCCATCCATAGTAAAGGCCTGAGCCAAAACAGTGGAGACATTAATAGGCTGATGATGAAGTAGGTGGGTATATTAAAATTTGGCTGCCACTGCCATGAGCCACTGCCTGTGCCACATTATAGTGTGGGGGAGAACGAGAACGGAAACCGTGAGAGGTGCGGGTGGCAGGCACATTCTTGTAAAAATTACAAGCAATTACTCAGTTAAGCGGTCTGCCTATAGAAGGTATAGCTATTTATGCCAAATAGTGAAGTGGAGGAGGCTCAAGGGCGTATTTACCATAGAACCAAGAGGGCAATAGTCCAGGGTGGCAGGCTGAGAGGAGCGGCTGCAAGAGGTACAAAGAGCAGCAGAAGTAATATAAAGGCATTCGTTTCTGACCACTATATAGATATAAGTACCTGAAATCGAAAATGGGCCTGCCGGCTGCGATATTTGGCAATACCAGCGCCCCTGAGCAGGCTTAAACTAACACTAATATACTGACCTGTCTCCACATACCAAAGGAAGAGAATCTCTGCGGCGTGGTCCTCACTGACCAATCATTGGGGCCCTGCTGCGCCGCGGTGGCCGTCAAAGGAATTTTGGTGAAGTAACCCATGTGGTCGCCGGCTTCCACCACTAGAACCTTCGTGCCGGGATCTTCGGAGAGACGAGCGGCTAGCACGCAACCCGCTGTTCCCGCGCCGACTGCATCACAGGATAAATTTTCAGAATGCCAGCGTGACTGGTTTGAGTGGTGGTAAGAAGCAAATTTTAATGTACATATGTGGAGAAGACACTGGATCCATATTTATCAATAACAGCCTCCCTAGCATGAGCACCGCTATCTATATATATAAAACTCAAAGGTGACTGACTGACTGGCATAGTGATCTATCAACGCACAGCCCAAACACTGGACGGATCGGGCTGAAATTTGGCATGCAGGTAGATGTTATGGTTATGACGTAGGCATCCGCTAAGAAAGGATTTTGATCAATTCTATCCCCAAGGGGATAAGATAGGGAATGAAAGTTTGTATGAAACTGTCAATTTTAAACCGATCCCGCTGAGACTTGGCATGCAGGTATAAGAAGAATCATAGATGAATGTCATTGTGTATAATACAAGCCTGAGATCAAAAACTGTAGTCTACATCATCATCATACTAATATTAGAAATGTGAAAGTTTGTATGTCTGTTACTCAATCACGCTAATACTACTCAAAGTATTTGAGGGGTGAAAAAAAAACCTAAAGGGTAAGTCTTGTTTTTTCTGTTGCCAAATGACGTCAGTAAGCCACCTTGGCGATGGGCATGTTCAACTCGTAGGCGTTTTTTGAAAAAACTCAAAAAACCCTCAAAAATTTTTTGAAACGCATTTTTCTTGTTTTTTATGTATTTTAGAAACTTTTTTTTCGACCATAATTGTAGAGGGCATTGAGTACTACAATTTATGTCATTGTTGCAATCTCGTACAACAAAAAACGCGCATTGTAGGTGGCGCTAAAGTCTCAAAAAAAGTGTTTTTTCACTTTTTCAGCCTGAAAATATCATTTTAATGGAAAACTTTAAATGGAAAAGTTGTTCCGTACATAATTACCAACAACTTTTGTATAAACAATTTTTTTGTATTACTTACCGTTTTCAAGTTATAAATTGCACAGGTATGAAAAATCCAATAGAGCGGTTTTGGGCAGTTCAAGTACACATTTGCAGTGCACATTTCAATGTACGTTTTACTATTTTTTATTTTTTTTCATGATTGTAATATTTTACTAATGTACTTTGTGAATAGAGCAGATGGCCGAATTGGCCCACTGTGTTGGCACTCACTGTGTTGTATACGCTGTATTGCACTGTAACTTGAAAATTGTAAGGAATTCAAAAAAATGTTTATATAAAAGTTGTTGGTAATAGTGTACGGAACAAAACACTTTTTTGAGACTTTAGCGCCACCTACAATGCGCATTTTTTGTTGTACGAGATTGCAACAATAACATAAATTGTAGTACTCAACGCCCTCTACAATTATGGTCGAAAAAAAAGTTTCTAAAATGCATACAAAACAAGAAAAATGCGTTTCGAAAAATTTTTCAGGGTTTTTTTGAGTTTTTCAAAAAACGCCTACGAATTGAACATGCCCATCGCCAAGGTGGCTTACTGACGTTATTTAGCAACAGAAAAAAACAAGATTTTACCCTTTAGGTTTTTTTTTTCAATGAAACGATTTTTTTTTCGACAGATTGACTGTGCTATCTGCTGGAATCTTTCATACAATACAAAAGATTTCCAATTTCAAATCTTTAAAATAATGACATTTCCTTTTTATGTTGACTGCCAGCCGTAGGCATTACATGAGTAAAGAGTTTAACATAAGCAAAGAGGCCGTAACGCAACGGGCGTTACAATACCTAATTCATCACTACATAGTATAAAGCAAAGTCGCTTCCCGCTGTCTGTCCCTATGGCCCTATATCCCTATGTTCCTATGTATGCTTAGATCTTTAAAACTACGCAACGGATTTTGGTGTGGTTTCTTTTAATAACTAAAGTGATTTAAGAGCAAGGTTTATAATGTATAATACATGCATAATGTAGTAGAGAAACACTGATAATTTTAGAGGTTTTTAATGTAAGGTCGTAAATAAACACATTTTTTTGCGCTCACATTGCAAACGCTGGCTGAACCCTACGAGATAGATGAAAATAATGTACTACAGTATTGTACACCTTAAAAAAGTCTACAAAAAGTTAGCGAGGGTTTATGTCTATCTCTTAGGGATAACCCACAATAACCATTTTTATCCTATACTTTTTACGAGAAATAATAGATTAGGTATTTACGAAGCGATTTTCAGCAATATAACATTCATCCTTATCCAATTAAGTACCTTCAATACATTGTACATTTAATATAGACCAATTTGGCCCTTTAACGCATGTAATTTAAATGAATATTTTCGAAGATATTACAGATTTAAAATGCAGGGACACAGCAGTTCCGACGCTACCGGGCGGGGGGCTTGGCGGCGCGTGCCTATTGTAATTAGGTATTAGAAGAATGTCATTGTGTATAATACAAGCCTGAGAACAAAAACTATAGTCTACACTACAGCTCTACACCGAAGCGAAACGAGGGCGGGCCACTAGTTTGTTTATAAAAAAAACATGTAAGCAACTTTGCCGTTAATATTTGCACAGGCGTTTAAAGTAAACCAATACAAAAACAAAAACTCACCGATTATGTAATCATATCGCTTGTCAGGCTTCTGTATCAGACTGCTGTACCCTTTAGCGTACCGCTGATACATCATAAACGAAAATATGGCAACACCGAAACTCAGCAAATAAGAATACACAGCCATTTTCGACACAAATAAACTGAAAACGGAAATATTTGCAAATTGCAACACGGTATTGTCTATTGTTCTCGCTGAAAGTACGTTAAGAAGTGATTTTTGTAATGTTATTTAATTCAAACATCCCTAATTGAATTAGTGGGAGGTGCGCAACCGTTCCATGTTTGTAAGTAGACAAGCTTATAAAAATGTTAAATCAATTCCTATCAAATTAAAAATTGATAAGTACCTCTAATGTTTAGTGAAGAAAAGTTGTAAATAAGGAATAAACTTTTTTTTTACCGTCGTTTGTGGTATTATTTTAGTATACCGTCTAATGTCACATTTTAAATTGTAAATATCGTGAATAAGTAGGTAGGTATCTAATAATTTATTCTTCTGGGCACAATTAAGTAAAACGCATTAAGTGTAAATTGTACTACTAAATATAACTATTGTAATGCTAGCAAAGATAAAGTTTATTATAATCATAATCAAAATCATTTATTCAGTTTAGGCTGTTACAAGCACATATGAATGTCTAGAAGCTACGCCATCGGTTCATAAATCTACGGCGGGAGACCTTGTACTGAGAAGAACCGGCAAGAAACTCAGCGAGGGCTGTTTTTTTCTCCCTGTTTTATCATTTACAGAGTCGTCAAGTTGAAAATTGACTTCAGAGATGATTCATGAAGTCACCTTTCATTACATAATGTGAAATTAGGTATACATTAATTGTTCACCTGCATTTTGATTGCTGTGTCACACAGTATAAATAGGTACAAATAGAGTTATTTATAATAAGGTGTAATTAAACATTATCGTCGTCAAGCCAATGACCAGGAAAGAAAACTGCAAAAGGTTTAGCACATGCGTCTAAATACTTAAGAAGATTAGTCTGACTCACCGTAAATCAATACTTTCATTATAATGACGTCCACTCGATATTCCGTAACAATGAAATTTTAACAAAAAGAAAAATTATAAACATTATTTCTCGATTAAAATTGTGTAAGACATTAGTGCAACATTAAAACTTTGTTTCCCCTAATATTTTTTTCCAATAGGTGTTGGCAGATAAGAGATTACAAGACAAAGTCATGTAGATAAATCCTAGACATTTTTTAACTAACAAAGTAGAAATGAGCTGCTGCTCATACACTACATGGAAATACTTCATATACATTCAAACTAAATGAAATAATTGAGACACAGTACCTATAGCAGTGGCGGATTTGCAGTCTCAGCCGCCATACTTCATATACATTCAAACTAAATGAAATAATTGAGAGACACAGTACCTATAGCAGTGGCGGATTTGCAGTCTCGGCCGCCCTAGGCCCCAAGCCATCAGCCGCCCTTTTCTCATCCACCATAGACTACATAATAAAATTACTTTATTGCCAACTTTTATCAAGAGAGATTTAAAAATTTAGGAGAAAGAATTGCTTTAGTTCGTAAGAATATAGCATAAGTTGTTACAACTAGTTATTTGCTCTAACATACTCTGCCAACTTGGCATGCTTGGTTATGATAACTTTTACACGAGTGTTATCAACTTTTAGCACTTAATTGCGAGTTAAATGTTTGAATATCTAATAAAACATAATTAATTTGTATGGATCTACTTGCTATCGCAAGTGCGGGTAGGTAGTGGCCCCCACGGCGACGGCGACCCCCCTGGCGGCGGGGGACAGCGGGACAGTGCGCGACACGAGCCACACATACATACCTGTAACCAAGTCATGCCCCCCCCCCCCAAGTTTACTAGAATAAATAATAATAATAATAGCTGCTAATTTCTAATATATTACGAGGTTGCAGGCATAATTGCACATTTAAACGGTTTTAAGTTTTATTTATTTAACTACAGGTTAAGAGTACAAGATAAGATATAATAAGAAGTGTTATACAATGTGTTACATAACTTGCCTGCTCTTTAGTGCAGCCAAATCGTTAATTAAATCTTCGCAATCCAATTTCCTTAAAAAATCAGCTTCTATGTTAAGCAAAGCAAGATTGTTTAACCTTTAGTCCGTCATTACATTTCATCTCCTACACCTTTACTGGTTGACTGGTAGAGAATGCCTATGGCATTAAGTCCGCCATTTACTGCTTTTATGGTAATAGAGAATAAATAAATTATTGTCGTGAAACATTTTTTACTCGTCGTAAAGAAGAAAATGATCGTTTTGCAGAAAAGTTACTGACAGGAGTACACACACACATACGAAGAGCAATTTCCACGTTTGGGTAAATGCTTTGGAGACCTTCTGTTCGTAGCCATTTCATCAAACTGACAGCTTTGTTCCGATCTTCATTTTTTTATAGTGCAGTGAGCACGAAAATGGAGTAAATTTCTGAAAAATCGTCTTCTAAGTTATTAGAATAAATTATTTACAACGCTTTCGCCTTTTCTTTGATTTCATACGCGCTTAATTTTGTTCGATTAGACTGTCGATTGGGGCCGCCCTAGGCCTACCGGGCCTTAGGGTGCTTACATAAAGAAACAGGTTTCCGGCACAGATAAATCTGTGCAGGTCGGTACCGACCGGTTCAGGGTCAACTTGCATAAAGAAACAGGTAAATCTGTCCTTATTGACAACCATGGGCTCCACTTCATCGGACGACGATTTTTTCCTTCTGGAAAATGTGTATTTAAAATGTAGAAAGAAAAGAACACTCAGTGTCTCTAATATTAACAGGAGAAGAAAACAATATGGATCGTATTATCATTTATTTGAAAAAGACATAAAGTTTGATGAACACAAGTTTTATGATTATACAAGAAAAACACAATAAACATTTAACTACATATTAAATAAAATCGAACATCGTTTAATTAAGAGATGGTGTAACTGGCATGTTCAACCCATTTCACCCGAAGAAAGACTACTAGTCACCATCGGGTAAGTAATTATTTTCATTATTTTTTACTTTTTATAGGGTTGTATTATTCGGGGGGTTTTTTTTATATGTAGCTTTTCAAACTTTATCAACGTTTAAACTTATACCCTCTTATTAGAAAACGCGGTTTAGAAATAGTACCGGGTTTAGTACTAGGATTAAAATAGTAAAATATTGTTACATACTTACCATCCTGTTTCATTTCCAAACTAATCTCTTTCGAACACTTATCGGTGACATTTCTGTTGCTATGGAACTTATTTCTTTTGTCCCATAAAGGTTGTTTATCAAATACCAAGGCTATCAAAACTTCGTTATCCACATCCACTTTCATAAACAAACACACCCTTCACCGGTAAACGTTTGAACCCGTATGGCTCGGCCCAGGTTGTCGGCACGAACAAGTTTAAACCTGTTTCTTTATAAGTGAGCGCGTAAGTACATATAAATATTATACCTGCACCGGTCGGTACCGACCCGCACAGATTTGTCTGTACCGGAAACCTGTTTCTTTTCGTTTCTTGTAAGCACCCTTAGGGTAAATCCGCCACTGACCTATAAGTAATATTGCCATCATCAATAATTTTAATATTTTTATAATTGAAACTAGATAGATTTAAACATCGAGAAGTTATTAGCTTAAAAAATAAAACTAATAATTTATTTTTTTAGATACAACAATTACAAATTAAATATTTTATTGAGTTCGCCTGTGCGGGGCACGATCCCCAAGCTTAGAGCAATGCTCAAGTCCCCAAAAGACTGGCAGTGTTATCTCGCTCTATCGCCAAACTAATCCGTTGAGTAAATAAGCTACCAAACCTCGAGTCCCCCGTGTCATCGTACAGTCTTAAGAAATAATTTTGCAGCAGGGGGACCCTGAAACACCCATTGTTTCCACAGCAAAATATGTCTCAGCCACATCTTGGTATTTGCGCCTTTTATTACACTCTGCTGCTACAGCAGCTGTACAGGGTTCAACTGCGGTCGCATCAAGGTGACATGTGCCCTAACCAGGCACCTTCCCATACTACAACCCATAAGTGCTAACTATCTGGTTGTCTACCATTTTTTTTTAATACGCAGGTAAAAAATCTATTTACAGACGACGGCGCCTTTAAGAGGCACACCGCCGAACGGACCTCACACCTGGCTCTCGCAAGTCTTACGAACCCCACAGTGGCTGCCCACCGAAGACCCCGCAACTCTTACGGGCGCTTTACGGTATAATATCTAAGCAGGCAGCAAGGCAGTAAGCTGCCTAGTGCGAAGCCGCGGGATCCCCGTTTAGGGATTCTCCGCGTCATCTGGTTGTCTACCATGGTCATCCGTATGCAATACCCCAGATGGCTCCAAAACTGAAGGTACCTATACCAACAGTTACTGTAGCCCTTCGAATGATGTTGATTGAAGCATTCCTGCCTATTCGCACGGCAAACCTCTGACACAACAAGCCATGATAATCTTCTTCATTTAGCCGATCTATAATCAGTGCCGTCTTTGACCTATTGGAGGCCTTGGGCATATTAGGATAATGACTTCCGTTTGGTGATTTAACAGGAACTAGGGACTTTGTATTTGATCTGAGGGGGCCCCCTATCGATCGCGGGGCCTAGGCACTTGCCCAAAGTGTCGAATGGGAAAGACGGGTCTGTCTATAATTTATTTATTTTAAAAGTGTTTTGTCTTTTATGCTATGTCACCCTTATCATTCTAAAACCCCTTTTTTGTAACCCATTCAATCGTCTTCATATGCAGTGACACAATGAATTTGTAATCTTATTAAGCTCAATCATTTATAATTTACAACTTGATAATTATAATATTGGTGTCGATTCTGACATGATTCTCTAAACCTAAACTTAAATTTGACAACAGTGCATCCTTATCATTCTCTATACAGAATGAAAAGGAGAGACTGATGTTAAATTTAGTTTTAAGTTTAGAGAATCATGCTAGAATCGACACCACTATATGGCTTCCAACATGTGACTTTGTTTTAGTTTTCAGATTAAGTAAATTATTTTTAATAAACATTGTAACTTTATTGACACTATATCACTATCGATAGAAAAATAAAGGTACACATACAAAAACCAGCACTTAGATGTTTATTTACGGAATTTCAATTCGAATGTATAAATCACAAACTTTGTGTTACCAAAGAAGTTAGAAATAAATAATTTGTCTGCTTTCTCAAAACTTTCTATATTGAAGTAAACTTCATTTAATTAATTTACAAAGTATAATGATAGTTTATTTACCATCTGTTTTTTAACATTCACTTGCGTATTACAAATAAAAAACTTAGTTCATGTGAGAAACTTATAATTCTATATCTCCCCCATCTTCAATCATTTCTCCAGTGGCAGGTACCATGACAGGAGCCTCTATGACTTGCTTGCGGCCCTTAGCATCGACAATTTCAATAGTTTCGGGTTCCACATCCATTTCAGTTTCTTCAGCAGCTTGGCGTTGTTTCAGACCGGCTGCTGGTGATCTAGTAGCAGAAAAATTGGTCAGCAATTAATTATTAGTCTTAGCTTCACTTTTACATGATGTTAAGAGTCACTGGAAACCAGTTACAAAAAGTCGATACTGGTTTTTTAGTAAAAATAAGTTAGCCTATTAGAAAATCCATGTGCCATTTTATATCCTACAGGGTAGGTAAATTATGTTTAGTTAGGATAAATACAGACCAAAATCTGTTTATTTTATACATAGCTGCTAGTATAATTAATCAATAAATAAGATGACCTCCGTGGTCGAGTGGTTTGTACGCCGGGTTTCATAGTGTCTCCGACTCAAGAGGTCCCGGGTTCAAATCCTGGTGGGGGCAGATGTTTGCGTGATGAATACAAGCATTTGTACTCCAGTCATGGATGTTTAATATGTATTTCTATATAAATATTCTTATATATGTACAGTATATGTATTCTATCCGTTACCCTAGTATCCCATAACACAAGCCTTACAGTGCTTACTTTGGGGCTAGGCTAATTGGTGTGTGTTGAAATATTTCTTTATTATTATTATTATTTAATCATTAGGAGTTGTATACATTACCTAAGCAAAGTATAAAATGGAAAATAACAATAATAATATTTCATACATTGCCTACATGCCCCAGGCATTTTAAACATTGCCTAAGTATTGTATAGAATACCTGCATTTTACAGATGAATGGTATGGTAACATCTACACACTACAGTGCTGCCTACTTAGCGGTTTTCGCGCCAGATCTAGCGTTTTTTTTAAATTATATTTTAGAAACTATATTACTTAATATAGCGATTTTTTCTAAACAGCCATTTTATCGCTTTCTAGCGCTTTTTTATAGCACCGACAGCGCGTTTTCGCTAAGACTAGTTGGCAGCACTGACATACTACCATAGTAGAGAAGGAAATTCAGCAGCGCCCTACCTGTCTTAAAAATATAATTGTCATATTTCTTTCTTAGGTTTTCACGCACATCACTCATTAAATAAAACTAGTTTTACGGGTTAATGCACAAACTTTATTTATTGACATTTTGCAGCCTTTTCAGGTATGCATCGTCAGAATAATGTCATCATCATTATTCTGAAAAGGCTGTGAAACGTCAATAAATAAAGTTCGTGCATTAACCCATTAAAACTAGTTTTATTTAATATAATTGTCCTAATATTATTACATAAAGTTGTGAAATTACTTATTAGTAGAGATTTTTATAAATCCTTTTTTATTGATATTCCAGTATTATAGTTTAAGTATAATATTAAGAAGTTTGAGCAAACAACTACAAAGGGTAACTAACCTTATCAGTGAAATATCCCTTTGAACTTCTCTGACATCTCTCTGCCACTCAACTTCACGACCTTTCCTCAATCTCTGCATTATGTAGTTGTTCGACCTCCTCTGCCTGATCTCTTCTACTCTTTTCATGGCTTCTATAGTCTTCGACCATAATTCTCTGTTATATTTCACTGGTACATGGCGACGTTTCTCAAATTCAAACGAAGGGTCGATCGCCAGCTCTTTGCCTGCCGTCTTGCGGTAGGCTTTGGTCCATTTAGTTTTACGCGGGTTTTTCTTCTTTTTGAAAGCGGCATGGCATTTTGAACGGCAGAATCTGAAAATCTATGAAGCAGCTTGGTTAATTTGAGCACTAGTAGGAAAACTAAACAAGGATGCGAAATTTAGCTGGATATTTAGTTTACCTTACAATCATTTCTCACGAACTGTATTCCATGACCAGGATAAATCCTGGAAGAACAAAAATAACAAGTTTCTATACGCATTTTTACACGTGCGTGTTTTGTTGTTTCACAGCACGTCAAAAGAGAAATTAAAAAATATACAATTTATTTTTATAATCTTGGCGTACGAGGAAGTAAAGAACTTTGTATTCATACAGCCAGGTGGCATCGTCATTTTTTTTTGTCAGGAAATACAGATGTAAAACACTCTACTATTGTTTAACAATTTAAATTTATTTTAGTTTAATTTTAATATTTATTTACAAAACATTCAGAAAACGCGGATATATTTTTTAGGACTGCCACCTAGCGGTTAGTAGTGGTACTATTGTAGCTTTCTTTTTTTACTATGCAATTCATAATTTGACTCCATACTAGATGTCGCTACTGATATTTACAGTCTATGCTTAGGAAGATTGAGAAATACTAAGAATCTTTATAAAATTAATGAAATTGGCATAAATTTACTCTATAGTTTAGATCTCATTTGTAGATACAATTTCATATTGAAAAAAATTGTCGCCGTCTCTTATTACGGAGTATCAATTAATCTAATTTGTGCCTTTTAAAAAAAAATGGGTGCGTGTACTTATGTAGGCGCGTGAGAAGTTATCCTTCTTTGGCATCGTTTAAAATTAGTTTTTAATTGCATGCAAATAATTAATTACAATAAATTAATAAAAAGTCTGGAAAAGGACACCAGTGTTGCCAACTCCGATTTTGAAAAAGGCGTAGGCCCGATGACAAAATTACGTAGAATTAGTAAAATTTCCATATGAAAAGTTCGTAGATCTACGTATTTTTTTCTGAGAGAAGTTAGTTCGTTAAAACGAGTATTTTGTTATACAATTTATTTAAAAAAAGGAGATAGAACATAGAATCCTTGGAGAAGACGCTACATTGGCAGCATTTACCATGCTGTGGTAGACATTTACCATCAGATACAGACGCTGCTAGGTGTCAATTTTGGCATAATTTTCTAAACTTAGCACTAAATTTAACATCAGTCTCTCCTTTTCATTCTGTGTAAAGAATGACAAGAATACACTGTTATCAAATAGGGTAGTTGACACTTTTTGAAAATATGTTTTAAATGGTTAATAATTGTTATATTAGACCGAAAAAAATGTATTGTAGTAATAATCATAATTGTGCTATGCGAGAACGTAAAATCACAACGTTAAAAACTCCAGAAAATTTGTGGTTTAAATTGCCCAGAGAAATAAACATATCTACACATGAACACATGTTTAAAACTTGCTAAATCCTGTAACTTTAGCGACTGAAAGTCATTTCTTTTTGCAATGATCATTTCGGTGTAAGTACTGATTCAATAATATTTTAAGTTTAAAAAAAATAAGTTTATTAATGTACCTACAAAGTAAGAGAGCTTTGTCGTTTCTGCTTTTACAAATTCGGCGTCTAGCATCAATTTAGTCAACAAAACCAATAAACGGAAACTCTTCTAGATATAAGAGTCTTTAGTTATATTTTAGTCCGACGAAAGAAACCATAGCAACACAATAATGACGTTTAGTTGTTTATAAATTTTGTAACGTCACAATCATTGCGGACAGCGTTTGTAGGTAGTGTTTAAAAAGTATAGACTAAAAATATTTTTTTCAAATTACATTACTACAGCCATCTTCTGATTTTATGAAGTGAAATCGATGTATTTAAGTTCCTCGTACCAAAAACTATAAGAAATAAACATTTGTATAGTTTATAAGTAACGGAAAATATGCTTCCCTAGTGAGTTATGTTATTTTGCAGTACAAATTAAAAGAAAATACGTAGATTTTGGGACTGAAGTTAGTAGGTTTGCAGAAAAGGCATAAAATACGTAGATCTACGTAAAAGTCGTAGAGTTGGCAACACTGAAGGACACAGTCAATAAAGTTCAGTTTTAATTTGAAAAAATAAATAAATAATCAAAATATTCAATTAAAATCGCTACTGAATATAATTTATTAGAACATATGTGATTTGTACTTGTATGAAACTCAAACACGTATTCCGAATATACAAACTAGAAACATGTGGATAAATATTATAAATATGAATACCTATAACTGTTACTTTATTACAAAAAATAAAGATGTGGTTTTTGGTTCTACTACACCAATGGTCAAGAGATGGCGCTGTAGTCTCCTGAATCGCGCTTTGGTTCCGTTGTTCCAGATTAATAAATACTTTTGATAGGCCTTCACAATGCAGTCGTTAGCACCCAATAAATAAAGATTCTATTTCTATTTTGTTGGTAGATTTTCTTAATGTGCGGTAATTTTTGTGTTACAGTGATGCGCGCGCATCTTAAAATTTCACTCTCATCATTTTTTCATAACGCGCCTAAAGAAGTATAACTTCAATAAAAGTTTAGTAGGTAGTTGGTATTTAAAACGTTACTAGAGGGTAAGCATTAGCCCGCCTGTCCCTGAAAATTTTTAGAATTTATAGTTCATTTATCAGCCACAGTAGTGTTGGGTAGGACACGACTTGAAAAAGAGTTTGTAAGAGTAGCCTCTTTTTTGTACTGAACCAGTACAATGTCCCACTTCAAATGAGGCGAGGCGTACTGAAGCTCGGCAATACATTTGAAGTGACGAGTACAAATATGACATTGAGGCGTACAGAAGCTCGACATTACATTTGTGTGCACGAGTAGCATCTCCTCTACACACTATCAATATTGCTGGATCCAGCATGCAGGACAGCGCTATACACGTAAAACAGATAGAGATACAGATGGATAGTGCGTAGAGGACTTAAATGAAATGTCATGCCTCGCTCTCTCTCCCAGACTTACGAAGAGTGAGTGAGTAACGAGACGCGACTATCGCGACATTTAATGTGAAGTAGTACATTTTAAAATTTTGAGCCGCTCTTACAATTTGGCGTCATGTCCGGGACAAATGTACCGCCTCTTGTAAGTCCTACTCTACACAAAGCCACAGCTAGCAGTTTATGAGTACAAGTAGATGAAGTTAGTTGAATAATGTACGAAATTATAAAAAACAATTTATAATTTATTTATTAATAAATAATAATAATAATTTCGTGGTTTTTTTTCTTTGATTGATATTATATACACGTATATTAAACGTTGATAGATAATTTCAAATTAGCGCATAACAACCCGCTTTTATTGAGACAACTTAGCGATCGCAGCGCCTCGCTTATTTTGTCCATATTTATGTATAGTAAGTCTAATTTCCACCTAAAAAGACTGCAGTAAATTAACCACTACATAAGTGAATAAAACAAGTTTCAACAGTATAGATGTACTGATTTATTAATTTATTGACATTTCGCATCCTTTTCAGGACGCGTCGTCTGAATATTAGGGTATTTGACAAGTTTTAGAAAACGATCTCACGTTATTGACTAATGTTTATGGAGTCCGTAAAAATGGATATTCATCATTCTGTTGTGTATTTCAGTAAAAATAACCAAATCAAAAACTCCATTTTCAAATTGCCGCGAAAACGTTTCTCTGGACAAAATAGCGTCTTACTAGTGTGTGACGTCACACGACTGTTATTAAAACGTCAAACGATACAATGTAATGTCACTGTTACTTGCGTGTGCCGTCATTTTAGGCTCCGCCAATCCCAAGCGTTTTGGGTCACGTGACAATAGATAAGAAAACTATTATCTTTTTCGTTAGTTTTTAGTAAAATTATGAATATTTTTTTTGTGAAAATAGTAAAAACCCTTGCCAATATTCATTCTTAACACAGATGCTAACAATTGGCACTTTATTTTTAACACTGTCAAATACCCTATTCAGAGGACACATCCTGGATGCGAAACTCCAATAAATAAATAAATCAGTGCTTCTATTTTATTTTTATTTATTTTTATTTTTTTGGTTTTCTGCATGGGGTACCGCATGAAACGTGTGGTGATTCTGTACAGGGGGCCAATCGCCTAAACGGATTGCTATGGCTAACGCTATAGCTTACGTTTTCTTTTCTCATTTCAGACTACCGAAGAAAGAAATTTCACATAACTCTCTTATTTTGTTTAATATCGTTATTACCAATGCAAAAGAAAAAAAGAGCACGAGACATTTGAAAACCTTCGGCGGTCATAAATAACAAAATGAAATCGTAAGCGATAGCAATAACCATAGCAATCCCGTTAGGCAATTAGCCCCTAGTCGTTATAACAAACGTCCTTGTAAAAAGTCACTTTAAACTTGTAAAATAGTGATTTTATTCAAAGGTCTATAAGTTACTATATCGGTGTATGCGTTGAGGTTTGCCTCATTTGGAACAAAAAAAATTGATCTCATGCCATTATCATCATCATCTCTCTCAAGATAATAACACTTTTTTTTTTAATGTGTATGCTGTTGGTCGCAGATGACCTTTAAAGCGTCACCGGGTTTGGGGACGGCGAGATCCTAAGGGGACCTCAAGCCGAGAATTGGCGAGTGCCTCTAGAAGTATTCCAGGCGGATGGCACCTCTCCACGGGGGGAGTCTCCTCTCCGTCTGGAGCCTGGAGAAAATACCACGCTTGCTTTCCACGCATAAGTTAACATCATGGCTCACTTACCAAACAATATAATTCAGCTTTTATATTAATAGAAATCGTTCAGAGACTCGCAAACAAATTACAATGCTAATGCGAATCGGCCGGTGGTCTTCTGTGCTTGTGTGGTGGGCAAGCTCGTGATTTGATTCAACAAACGCTTATAATAATCTAATACGTGTTCATTAGGAGATGTAATGAGGGGACTTAGGTACGTCTCTTGAATTTTTATAGAGCATTTTTAGACCAATGACGTGACGGACACACTTTGAGCGTTTGAAGTTGAAGAGTTATGTTGGACTGTTCCGATTTGGGTGCCATAAAATTTATTCATTCTAGGTTCTGATGTCATCGGCCAATTTGAAGAGTACTTACTGCGGTGCGAATTATATCGACGGAGGAAAGGAAAAAACGCGTATACGCCACTTTGGTCGAAAATTAGTTATACAGTAAAACCTGTTTAAGACGATTTCACATCGACTCGACCAAAACCGCGTCTTAAGC